AAAACCACCAACCCTGTGATTGTATTTTGGGCACTTGGCAACCTGACTACATTTATACTTGTTTGCAGCATCCCACAGTCATATAAAACTGTGATTTACATACATATATTTTTTGCCAGAAACTGGTATTTACTTCTAATGTTTAGCAAAAAAAAAAAAGCCCATTGTGGACAATGAATTCACTTAAGGCCTGTGGTGTTCCCTTAACCATGGTGATTCACTTAACAACCACCACATAAAAGATCATAAAATCACAGAGTGACATGGTGACCTGCTTAACAACCAGTGTAACATATGGCCATAATTCCAAGCTCAATTATATCATCATCATCAGTCAAGGGCTATTTGTATATGCTTAGCAGGTGAAGACTGATTAAATACTGTCAAAATGCAAAGGGAATATAGTTTGTATCAATAACAAGGTTCACAAGACAATGGATTTTCTCTTTTGAGAGTCAAGTGAGAATTAAGGTCTCTTTTAAAAATTCATGGCAAAAGCTATATGCACAGGCACACAATGTTAACTCGCAAAGCATCCCTGGCCTGCTCTCGAAGTTGCCATAGGTAAGGAGGATGGGAAACTGATGAAGCAACATGGCAGCCAAAGACAGGAGCACCTTCCAGACATCTCTCTCTAAAGGTTGTATCCCAGGGTTACCTACAGTGGCCAGAGGGGAGTGATCTCTACAACCCACGAAATTTGCTCCATTGGCAAATGTGATTGATGACACACCCTGGAGGGAGGGGGAAAACAGAGTCATGATTAGGGCTGTAAATTACTTGGGGTCAGAGTTGGCTTCATTTGGGTACATGCTGACAAGGAGCTCCTAATAAATAACTGGATTTCTCTTGAAGCTTCACTCGAGGCTCATGATTTAATTAGGGCATCCGTCGGAACACTGACACACAAATTGAGCTGTCACGAGAATTGTCCAATCTACATTCACAAGGATACTCAAATCTTATAGATGCTCAGCCTCTGCTTAAGTCCAAATCCCATTGTTGGAAGGAAAATCCATCTGGTTCAGTTCCAAGCTGGGGAAAGACGCTGGAGGCTGACTGGAAAGAAAGTTTATTGAAGAACAGAACTAACCTGTGGTTCCAACATGTGCTTCCACGCATGTGCCTGGCCTCAAAAACGTGCCTAAATAGGACAGCATATAGCTGGGGCAGGTGGGCAGGCCCACCCACAATTTCCGCTACCGGTTGACCCAAGCCCGCCCAATTAGATTAGCACCCCTTCAGGAGCCAGGCCCAGTTCGTAGGCACACACAATGTTAAAGGGAGGACTTTTTGCTACAAGTCCCAACGTTAAGGTAGCAGGAGATAGCAGAGAAAAAAGGCAGAAGCAGGAAAACAGGAATTATTTGCAGATTAGAATTTAGCTGGAAGACAGCGAAATCCAGGTCAAACAATCCAAGGTCAGGCTGAAGATTTATGAAGCCAAGTCAAGGGACAGACAAAGTATTAGTCAATTAAAAAGCTGGGTTCCTAAATAACTGGATTCCAGACGAGAGTCACATAATGAGAAGCCGCTTGCTTCAAGCAAGAGAAAACTGTTATTGTGAGATTTAAGATTCCCTCCCTGCTAAACATGCCCTGGAGATACCAAATCATTCTTAAGCTTTGCTGGTGAATTCAGCATCTTGTGGCTTGCTCAGCAAACTGCAGAGATCAAAAAAAGGAATAGCCAAAATGGGCTGAGGGGCAAGGGAGTGCCTGAAGCAGCCTTCACGGTAGCTGAGTCTGACTCCAAGGGCATGACATTTCTCCTGAAGATAACTGTTCAGCTAGCAGTGTGACAGCTAGGTAAATTTACGATTTAAGAAAGGGATAGGTGACGCGGTGGCTCAATGGCTAAGACGCTGAGCTTGTCGATCGAAAGATCGGAAATTCAGCCGTTCGAACCCCTGGTGCCGCGTAATGGGGTGAGTTCCCGTTACTTGTCCCAGCTTCTGCCAACCTAGCAGTTCGAAAGCATGTAAAAAACGCAAGTAGAAAAATAGGGACCACCTTTGGCGGGAAGGTAACAGCGTTCCATGCGCCTTTGATGCTGAGTCATGCCAGACACATGACCACGGAGACGTCTTCGGACAGCGCTGGCTCTTCAAGTTTGAAACAAAGATAGGCACCGCCCCCTAGAGTCGGGAACAACTAGCACATATGTATGCCTTCCATCACTGACCTATTGTTGATGGGGAGAACCAAACAGAAAATATAACGACATTCAACTGATCACACTTAGAATATTCTCTTTCATTGACTATGTACCATCAAGTCATTTTCAACTCCTGGTGACCACATAGATAGATTTTTCTTCAGGATTATCTGTTTCTAAAATATAATAGAATAACTGAGTTGGAAAGGACAATAATTTTTCATCGTCTGCTACCATTTGTCAGATATATATTGATGATCGTGCTCATTTGATTCTATGAGGAAGTTATCTGGTCAATACAGCTTCAGGTTCAAAAAGTTGTTTTATTATTTACAAAATATATACATGCATACAATAATGAACAGGGTGTCCTGTTGCAGCTTTTATCCTAACTGTATGACTCAGATGTTGAGAGGAGAGATAAGTTCACTTGTTGTCTTGCTGAGAGATAGATGAGAGAGAGACCAAAACAGGGAAGATGTCCAAGTGGTTTCTGGGTAAGAGTCCAATAAAAGAGTTCATTGGCTGATATAGTCACATGTGATATCTGTAAAGACTTAACCCCTTCTAGTCTCTGGTGCATCATAAGCAGGCAATATTCTGACAAGGACCTTACAGGTCTTCTTACCCAACCCCATGCTCAAGTAGGAAACCCTATACCATTTCAGACAAATGGCTGTCCAATCTGTTCTTAAAGACCTCCAGTGTTGGAGCACCCAGAACTTCTGGAGGCCAATCATTCTACTGATTAATTGTTCTAACTGTCAGAAATTTCTCCTTAGTTCTAGGTTGGACCTCTAATCAATTGTCCTTGATGAGAACAACTAATCCATGGAATGACTTGCCTCCAGAAGTTCTGGATACTCCAACACTGAAAGTTTTTAAGGAGAGATTGGATAACTGTTTATCTGAAATGGTATAGACAGGGGTGAAATCTAAAATTTGTTATTACGAGTTCTGTGGGCGTGGCTTGGTGGTGGTGGGGGTAATGTGACTGGGTGGGCGTGGCCAATTTTTTTTTTTTTTTACTTTTAAAACCATTTTTTCTACAACCTCTTCAGCTAAGAGGTTGTAAAAAAATGTTTTCAAAAGGTTCTGAGGATCCAAGCTGAGTTCCATGATCAGGGAACTCAGCAGGGATTGTCAGAGCATTTTTTATTTATTTATTTATTTTTTATTTGATTTATATGCCGCCCTTCTCCGGAGACTCAGGGAGGCTTACAATGCGTTAAGCAATAGCCTTCATACTTTTTGTATATTTATACAAAGTCAGCTTATTGCCCCCACAAACTAGGTCCTCAATTTACCTACCTTAGAAAGGATGGAAGGCTGAATCAACCTTGAGCCTGGCAAGATTCGATCTTACTTTAATTGCAGACAGCTGGTGTTAAATTACAGAGCTCTGTCTGTTGAGCTATCCAGGCTCCCTGGATAGCTTAACAAGGGCTAACAAAAGATAAACAAGGGTATTTTTCTTTTAAATGCCTTTGATGAGCCGCACGATCATCAGAGGCTTTTTTTTTTTTACGATAAAAAGCTTTTTTGCCGGCGAAGTAGTAAAAAAAATTTTAAAAAAAAAAAAAAAAGCCTCTAATGATTGTGCGGCTCGGCTGGGCAGGGGGGGGGGGGGCGGCGAGGATTTTTGCTACCGGTTCTCCGAACCACCCACCTCCATTGCTATCGGATTGGGTGAGCCGGTCCGAACCGGGAGCATTTCACCCCTGGGTATAGAGTTTCCTGCCTGAGCAGGGGGTTGGACTAGAAGATTTCCAAGGTTCTTTCCAACTGTGTTATGCTGTTATTTTACCCTTATGGGAAGCTCCCATTCCCCGAGAATGAAATATTTTGGAGAATATTAAAAGCGGTAGAATATTATATTTCCCCTAAAGGAGAAGAGGGGAAACATGTGCTTAAAAGGCAGAAAACAGCCCCAGTCTTCCTGCTACAGGAAAAAAAGTCTCAAGCAGAAGACCTGAAGTCTTTAGGAATGGAGATTTTGTACCCATTCAGAATGACTGGGCCAATCTATTCATAAGCAAAGAGACTCCAAATAAGCAACACAATTAGGCAAACCAAAGCTGACAAGATTAGCTCAGACAAACACCTAGGATTTGCATTTCCCATTTTCTTGTAGAGCCAGCCATGACCCCTACATGACCCAATAGGAATTTGGTAACAGCCATTAAAATATTAAAGGACACATTCTTACATAGGAACAGGCAACTCAATCACAAAGCCCCAAAGAATATAAAAACCCACCTACTCTCAACCCCATTTTGTCAGCCATCCCAGAAACATGCTGCTGTCATCGAAGTTTCTGGTTACTGAATAAACAGAGACCTCCTTTCCAAAATGTGGCTTGCCTTCATTTTATTTTCAGCGCCTTTCTCCCGTCTTGGAACCGGACCAAGATTTTTCTTCCAACACTGTTATAGGCAAATGCAATTTGATGCCAGTGCAATTCCTTTTTCTGCACCTATTAATATGACAGCTGCCCAAAATCTTTTGGAGTGGGCAGATAATTCTACTCCATCTACTCCAACAAATCTCTTTTTTTAAAAAAATCCACGTTTGTATTTGCAACTTTCCCTACCATAAAGCATTTTATATACAGCCCCTTAACATCCATATCTGCCAATACAAATTCACCGAAAAGGGATCCTTTTTTAAATTCCGTTTCCCTGATGTGTCATTCTTTGATCTGTAATATAGGGGATGTTTTAATGTAAATCTCCTCAATACACCTCTCTGTTTTTTAAACTATTCCGTTTTTGATGCAACTACAATTGACTTCAATTCAGACACATCCCTTGTCTATTTTTCTCTCCATATCTGTCTGCAGGATGTGCCAGGAAGCCAAGAAAGAGATGTAAAGGGAATCAGCATGGTAGTTGTGCTCTGTTCTTTAGAAGCTATTTTATGAAACACCATTGAAGAATGTTGCTTGAAGCACCAGCAAAGGAAACCGCTTCTTAGATACATTGTACAGTTCTACTTCTATGCAGTCTCTCTCCCTCCCTTCTCTCTTTCTCTTCCTCTGTGTCTGTATGTCTGTAGACAAAAATGGAGACTACTGCAAGAATGGTCAGCTCAGTCATCTTTCTTATGGTCCAATAAATGTCCCTAGAACTCTGTAACGGGTTCGATTTACAATCATTGTATTGTCCACAAACATTAATTAAGAGTGCTGATGCTGTTAGGTAGTTCCAAACTCTCTGCAGTTCAGAGTAAGAAGTGTCACACACAGCCTCAGTGTAGTGCATAAAGCAAAATCAGTGGTGGAATTCAATTTTTTTTACTACCGGTTCTGTGGGTGTTGCTTGGTAGGCATGGTGTGGGTTGGTGGGCATGGCAGGGGAAGGATACTGCAAAATCTCCATTCCCACCCAACTCTGGGGTCAGCCAGAGGTAGTATTTGCCGGTTCTCTGAACTACTCAAAATTTCCGCTACCAGTTCTCCAGAACCTGTCAGAACCTGCTAAATCTCACCCCTGAGCAAAATACAGAAAAGCAAGAGAAAAATAATGGTCCATGCTCTTTGGAAGTTCATTCTTTCCAAATTTAGAAGAAGGGGTCGACCTATTCTTCGAAGCGCCTGAATGCAGGACAAGAAGTAACGGATAGGAAGATCATGAAAGAAAGGTCTCTTTAATATTGAATCTTTAATAGTAAGACCGTGTCTGGAATACTGCATCCAGTTTTGGTCACCACAGTATAAATAAGTTGCTAAGACTTTAGAAAAAGTGCAAAGAAGAGCAACTAGGATGATTAGAAGGCTGGAGACTAAAACATATGAAGAACAATTGGAGGAACTGGGTATAACTATAGAGAAAAGAAGGATTAGGGGTGATATGATAGCAGTCAGTGGTGGCATTCAGCCGGTTCGGGAGAACCGGTAGTGGCGACCTGCAGGTGGGCCTGCCCACAAGCCCTGGCACTATGCCGTCCTATTTAGCCATGTTTTCTAAGCCGCATGCATGCATGCAAGCTATGCACATGAGCAAAGCACATGCGCAGAAGGCTGCGCACATGTGCGGAAGGTGCGTGCGCAAATTAAGCGAGCGTGCATGCACACATTTTCAGTGCACGGAGAACCAGTGATAAAATTATGTGAAATCCATCTCTGATAGCAATGTTCCAGTATGTAAAGTGTTGCCATAAAGAAGAGGGGGGTCAACTTATTTTCCAAAGCACCCGAAGGGCAGACAACAAACAACGGATGGAAACTAATCAAGGAGAGAAGCAACCTGGAATTAAGGAGAAACTTCCTAACAGCGAGGACAATCAACCTATGGAACAGCTTGCCTCCAGAAGTTGTGGGCGCTTCATCCCTGAACGTTTTTAAGAAGAGACTGGACAGCTGCTTGTCTCAAATTGTATAGGGTCTCCTGCTTGAGCAGATGGTTGGACTAGAAGGTACCTCCAAGGTACCTTCCAGCTCTATTCTGATTGAAAGCAATCTAACCTAGAAGTAAGGAGAAATTTCCTGAGGCTGAGAAGAATTAATTAATGGAATGACTTGTTTCTGGAAGTTGTGGGTGCTCCATCACAGGTGGTTTTCAAGAAGAAAAGACAGAATAGCTATTTGTCCAGAATGGAATGGGGTATTCCTGCCTGAGCAGAGGGTTGGATTTGAAGAAGGGACTGATATAGTGATGGATCTAACCCAATAACTCACAAGACAGAGTAATATCTTCTAGGAATTCTTTTATTGCAGGCCTGGATTGTTCCTACGCCCATTCATCTAACAGCAACTGACCTTTTGTCCTTCTCTTGCAGGTACACATCTGGAACTGCTGGATGGCCTCATGGTGAGACCTCTTATACCCAGGGGGAGGAGTTAGAGGTAAGGTGGGATTGTGGGAATGATGGGATATGTGGTTATGTTAACCCTTGCAGGACTGTGACGGGTTGTGGTGAGAATGGGTTAGACATTTAACTTGACAGGGACTTCAAGGTCCTTTTCAGCTCTACTTTGTTATTTTACCCTGTTATAGGTACAAGCAATTTGGTGCCAGTACAATTCCTTTTTCTCCAACCCTGAAGTCTTGACTGTGCCACCATGCTGCATGACTGGCATCAGCCGTGGGCCTTAACAACGGCTATATTAAATGGCTGGATGATTTATATTCACTGGCTGAATGCAATTATGCTTTATTGAATGTTTAATCCTGCTTTTAAGATAGCTGTACATGGTTGTATTTTTCTTTTTTTACTGTTCCTGTTGTTCTTAAATTGGTTATGGGCCACCAGAGCTAGTGAGACAGGTAGCTAAATAAGTAAAACGACCTAGTAATTGCTTCCCATACTTTAACATTTCTTTTGGTTTTGTCATATGCCATGTCACTGATTTGTCACATCCTTCTAGAGAGATTGATGGTGAGAGGTGGCATAACCTGTTAGGAGTTGTCTTTGTTTTTCTTCCCTGCTGCTTCATCTCCCAGCTGTAAAATGCTAATACATGTGACATGGACAAATATCAGGTTTAACCTGATTTATATAACATGTGTATGTGTATGTGTATGTGTATGTGTATGTGTATGTGTATGTGTATGTGTGTGTGTGTGTGTGTGTATCACATTTAGAAACTGTCGATCTCCCTCACAGAGCAACTCTGGGCAGTGTACAAATAGAAATAAAAGCATAAAAGCTATATAAATACACTACCTGTGTATTGACTTACCACAATTGAGCCCAACATTTCTGTTGCTAAGTGAGAAGAGTCGTTAAGGGAGCTTTGCCTCATTTTACGACCTTCCTTGCCACGGTTGTTAAGTGAGTCACTGCAGCTGTTAATTTAGTAACCCGGTTGCAAAGTGAATCTGGTTTCCCTATTGACTTTGCTTGTCAGAAGGCTGCAGAAGGGGATCACCTTGCTTAGAAACAGAACTTCTGTTCTGTCCCCTCCCACGAGTGGCCTTACAGAGGCTCAAATAGCCCGGCAGTAACAAACGCAGGCTAGAGAGACTGAAGCTGGCCCTTTAATAAATAGTTCTCTTCCAAAGCGTATTTCAGTCCAATAGTTACCGGGCAATGTTCCAAAGGTCTTGGCACATGGCCAGCAGGCTAATGCAGGAATGCAGACTCTTGTCAAAAACTCCAAACTAACAGTTGTAACTCCACTGCATCCAAAACACCAATAAATTGTTCACCATGCCTTTCCAGCCCAGTCACACTGCTTTTATACTTTGTAGGGTGTGGCCCTACGTCTCCTGACCACACCTCTTGGGACATGGCAATAGCTGTTCTCTACAACATCTCCTACATCTCTCTCTTGCATCCAATAGGGGCTCCCCCTCGTCGTTACCGGCCTCTGTTTCCACCTCAATTTGGCTGGGGTCCATAGGCACGTCAGCAACTGTCAGTTCTTGCTGACTCACCAGTGAAGACGGCCCCTCCGGCACATAGCTCGTGACAGCTTTCTCCTCTTCCATATCATCCTCCGAATCAGCATGCGAAGATAAATCAGCCTCTGGGGCCGTCACAACAACTTCTAATCTCAATTGTGGTCATAAATCAAGGACTACCTGCAGTGGGTGCAGGTACAAAGGCCTTTCTAGCCATAACTGCCACTTGCTCTTTAGCGGGAGCCATGATTATACCTGATTCCTGAAATCTGCCCCTCTACCTCTCCCCACAAATCCTTCCAGATCTTCCTAAGGCCCTCATATCTCATGACAGTGAAACGGATGAACCAAATATCTAAAAGATGGGAAAAGAACTATCTGAAATGTTCCCCTTGTCATCCCCTATATTTCTTTTTCACTCACTATACTTTGACACTGTTATAATCCCAAAAGGTTTCTGGTACTCTATAACAAGGGTGTCAAACTCAAGGCCTGTGGGCTGGATCCGGCCTGCGGGGTACTTAGATCTGGCCCGCGGGCCCACCCTGGAAACAGCAAAGGACTGACCCGTGGTGCCTCTGCCAGTGAAAACGGAGCTCTGGTCCTCCTGGGCTCCGTTTTTGGCCATGGAGGCCTCCTGCAGCTCTGTGCCAGAAAAAAAAAAGCTCGAGAAGGCCACACGTGGCCCACTCGGGCTCCGTTTTCAGCTGCGATGGCCTCCCCAAGCTCCGTTTACACTGGCAGGGGGCTGCAGGAGGCTGTCACGGCCGAAAACGGAGCCTCGATGAGTAAGGTTGAGCTGGCCATGCCCACCCTGGCTATGCCCCCTGGCCATGCCATACCCCCAAGCCTCCCGAGGTCAAACACAACCCTGATGTGGGCCTCAATGAAATTGACTTTGACACCCCTGCTCTATAACAAAGGTCCCCAGTCCCTGGGCTGTGGCCTTCATCTCACACAGAACTATCCCCTGTCCCCTCACCCCTCCTTGTCGGTCTGCCAAGCCAGGAAGATTGGGGACCACTATTCTATAATACAAAAAATAGAAGGAAAGAAAGAAAGAAAAACCCATAATAAAAATATCAAACCATCTATCATTCGAAGATTCTTGTGATCGTAGACTTCTCTAAAAAAAAAAAGAAGAAGAAGAGTTTTAAACCTTTAGAGGTTTCTCCTCAAAATTTGCTCTTATAGAATTACGGAATACATTTAGAGCTATGGCTTTCTTTAAGCTTGTTCCGTAACATAAGTGACAGCTGTTATCCCTGCAGGAAGCCATTGTGTAAGATGCAGGGTTTCCTGGCATTTCGGGCTCCAGAGAGAAGCGGAGGTGACAAGGTGATGGATGTGATAGAGGGACGAGGGTCCGGTTGATGGCAGAGGAAACTTAAAGGTAAGGAAGAAGTGCTATGGATCCCATGAGGGCAGAAGAGGGAGTCAACGGAGGAGGCAATTAGGAATATTTGCTTGGGTAGATGGATTGATCGGTTGGATTTTAATAAAAGAGAGTATTTGCAGTTCAGGGTTGAGATATGGGGTCCTGGGTGTTCTCCGAGCTTGGTCGTTTTCTTGCAGACATTTCAGTGAGAACGATTAACCAGAGGAACGGCTTGCCACCAGAAATTGTGGGTGCTCCAACAATGGAGGTTTTTAAGAAAAGACTGGACTGAACTGAACTGATATAAGGTCTCCTGCTTGAGCAGAGGACTGAACTAGTTGACTTCCAAGCAGTGGTGGAATTCAATTTGTTTTTTACTACTGGTTCTGTGGGCGTGGCGTGGTGTGA